ACGGTCCTGCATATATATATATATATATGTATTCCTGAAATGGGTGCCCTGATATTCTACGAGGCGGTCCAAAAAATAGCTTATTGAAAACGCCGCAAATCCAGGAACACCAAAAAAACGCTTCTTGAAAACGCCGCAAATCCAAGAACGCCAAAAAACGCTTTCGGAAAACGCCGCAAATCCAGGAACGCAAAAAAAAAACGCCTTTTGGGCCATAGCCCGGGAACGCCAAAAAAATGGCAAACACAGTGTAAAATGCATTTTTTTGGCGTTCCCGGGCCCTGGCCGAAGAAGCGTTTTTTTGGCGTTTGTTTTTTGGCGGGCGGGCGGCAAACCGTTAGGGCTATGTGTTTATAAAGTTGTAGGACCTACTCCAACCGTGGCTTCCGAAGATGCATTTACATGCACACCAGGAATAAGGTTGCAGGCAACACATTGGAAGCAGAAATCACGTCTGGACCTTGGATTCTTTTCTTCTAGAAACAGAAACCAGGATTGCTTTTGAGAGAGGTTTTTTTTCCGAAACGCTTTTTGCGAACGCTTTTCAGGAACGCCTTTTTTTCGGAACGCTTTTTGCGAACGCTTTTCAGAAACGCCGTTTTTTCGGAACGCTTTTTGCGAACGCTTTTCAGAAACGCTTTTTTTTCGGAACGCTTTTTGCGAACGCTTTTTAGAAACGCCCTTTTTTCGGAATGCCTTTTCCGAACGCCTTTTTTTGAGAAAAAAACGCTTCTCTGCATGTCTGGAGTTTGCCACCGTCCGTTTTCATAGGCATAGCGAGGGTTTCTGTGTGCTTTTGCAGTGGTCCTGGACGACCTGCTGAACCCCAAATGAATTGATTCATCGACCAACCCTTCCCGCCCCCATCCCACCGCCCCGTTTGGCTGCATTCCCTTCGGCGCTTGCCTCCGTCTTCTTGCTTTGCCCTTGCAGTATGCATGATCTTCGAGAAATGTCAGAGCGGAACCGGTCTCTGTGAACCCCATCTCTGTATTCTTCTTCTTGTTGTGCGTGTTCTGTTGTCGTTTCCCGCCGTTGCTAATGCGGGAGCCCACCTCCCTTTGGAGACATCAGCAAGTGCAGCTGACGCAGTGGACGTCGATTTGGCGTGCTGTGCCCATTCCATTCGTGAGGATGCCATCACGGCACTTCGAAAGAAGCTTCAGCAGGACAGCCCGTTAGTCGAAGCTATATCATGGTCGCCCTCGGACATACTGAGAGAGTGAGAGATCAAAAGCAGCAGCCTGTGTGCGCCGTAAGCGTGGTGGCCAGGAGCGGGACTCTGTGGCATCCCTCAAGCTCTCCTTAACGAAGCAGTCCAAAAGCAAGGCCGTTGGGACTTTGCAGGAAGCACCGGGCAGCGCAAACCAGAATGCGACGTGTTCTCGCCCCTGTGAAGCAGGCCATTGAGACCGATGACGCGGACGCCAACACGGAAGAAACAGACGACCTGATGGAGCAGCGCGGGCTGTCAGCATTTATCACACCGTATATTTCAAGGCTGGGTTGAAGAGAGCTGCTTTCGGTAGGGACACTGCAGATCAGAATCCGATGCAGCAGATTTCATCGGTCAAGCTGCAGTCCGATTTATTATCGCAACACGACAATTCGGAAGCTTAGGAGAAGTATGTAATCACCGACACGAGTACATCAGGTGACCCGGCATGTTACATTCTGTCTTCGGGGAAGCGTGCGGAAACTGTTGCACGGCCACGAGCCAAGAAGGGTCCAGGCCCAAGCAGCAGATGAACCATGGTGTTAAGCAGTTTCTGTGTTTTTTTTCCAAATCCACGCCTACCCAGGTTGACGTCAGCTGCATGTGTCGAAAAGTCCATAGGCAGTTGAATGTGCCCACAGTCTCATCGGACCCTTGGGAGATCTTGGGGAATGCTTGGCAAGAGCTGCTGGCACAGCTCCAGTGCATGTTCACCTGGTGAATACAAGCCTTCCCTAGGGGCACCTCATTCATATACGCAAAAAACGGTGAGCGACCGAGCCAAGCAACAAGTGCACTGCAAATGGTGGCACAATCAAACTCGCATGCTGTTCATGTTGAAGTTGAGTAGCGGATGTGGCGGAGTGACTCCGCACTTTCTGGTACACCTTTTCAAGGCGAGGCGGGCGGGGTGGGTGCATGAGCAACGACGCACGAAAGCCAGCTGAGAACTTTAGAATCTTTAATTAGACTCAGGATGAGGGTGCACCGACGGGCGCGGAAGGTGGGCTCTACGGTCATAACAGTACCCCGTGAGCGGGCCAGGAGAGAGGACGCCATGATCAAGGAGCGCGAGGGCCGGCTGATGGCCGACCACTCCTCAGAAGAACTGCGAGTCAGGGATTTGCATGATTCGCATTCATACATTGGACCTTTGGGTCGCGGGCATGCAAGACTGGAAGACCCGTGTCCTTGAGCAGCGTGCCTTCTAGAAGAAATTTCATCCTACACACTTACGGAACCCGCACTGTTCCGAGGAGCGAAATGCCTATCTCAAAAACAAGCACCTGGTGAATGCGGAAGACAGGCGGCGCCGCTGCGGATTGCATAGGCGTTTGTATGCCGGTCTATGCCGCACGTCATCCACTCACAGAGTGGGCTCGCCGCAGACCTTGTTGTTCGTTCTTGAATAAACTTCTGGATGAGATTGTTCAGATCTGGCACATCTCGCAACAAGAGTTTGGCAGATCCCGCTGCTGCAAAGCTGTTCACGAGCCAGGTCGCGCTTCGGTCACTACCCGATGCTGCAGGCCTCCGAATTTTGACAAACGAGCTCTCAGTGGGAAACCCAGACATAGAAGCCTGAAATGAGAAGCAATCTCGTCCAGCCGATTGCCCTGCACTGCTCGCTTATGGCTTAGATTCCGATGGGCCGAGTGACCACGGGCAGAAAGCCTCACATCGCCTGAAGGACAGATTTCAGTTGCTGAACCTGATCGGCAAGGGTGGGTTCTCGGAGATCTACAAGGCCTTCGACCTTGAGATGATGTGCCCCCCGATGTCCTATGTTGCTGGTTTTGTGTAATGTGAATATACAGATCTGAACAATGTGTATATATGAATACATCAGGTTTGTACATTGCACATACCAGTATATATTTAATATTATTGACATTACTACTATTGTTAACTGTTATTATTATTATTATGAGTATTGTCATTATGAGCATTAGTCTTAGTATTAGTATTATATTATTAGTGTGTATATGTATATACATATATGTGTGTGTACACATGTATAAACAAAACGTGTATTTGCGCGGAGAAACGTGAGAGAGACCGTTCCGTTTGTGTGTTGGACACTCACCTTTTCAACAACATGAAACCCAGCCTAAGGCTACTGCGCAATCAAGCTGAATGAGATCAATTCGAAGATGTCGAACGACATGTGCAAGGACGCGGTGCGCTGGGCTCTGCGAGTATCACGGAAGCAAGATTCGCCTTGACGTACTGCTATGGTATTTCACCATCTTCAATTTGCAGTTGTCTTCGTAGTTTCTTGTTCGATGCCGGTCCAGTTGCCGAATGTCAGGCACAACATGTGCTTGTCCTTAAGTTGAGCAGCCTTGAGTTTCTGGGCACTGTGCAGCCTTGCAGTAATGTCCAAGGAAGCCGAGATTCAAAAGGCCCTGCAGCATCCACGCAACTCAGATGCAACATGATGCAACTACTGGTTGCCGTTCCGGGAAAGATGCGGAGTTCAGCCAGAGCGTTGAGCTCTCGAGATGCCCCAGCATGTGAAATGGAGCCACTGCCACGAAGACGTCTGGCTGGCCCTGCATCGCTATTTGAGACTTTGAGATGATGCGCTCAAGTCACGCTGGTTTCCAGCAGCGGAGAAAAGAAGACGTGCCGCTTGTGGTTGCAAAGACATACTGCCGCGGGGGGGGGGGGGTCTGTCAAAGAGGTGTTCCAACTTAAAGCGGCCTGAGTCCAGCATGCAGCGTGCGGTCAAGGCATTGTCCAGATGCGCGAATGCTTCGCAGTGGATAACCATGCCTTTGTGGCCGTTCTGGAGCTTTGCGAAGGTGAGACATTGGACACGCGATGCTTGGCGGCAATAAGTGCTGCAGTTGTAGTTGTTGTTGTTGTTGTTGGTGTTGTTGGCAGGTGGCGCGTATGCCACCGCAAAGGGTGCATCGATTTCGGGGCTGCAATGTGCCAGAACTCGAGTTTCGGCACGCTGCAGCTTGTACAAAAAATCTCCGATGCGGCTTTCGCATCGGTTTTTACACTGGCTTCCTGGAAAAAACCAAAAACCGAGGTTTTGCACATTCGCATGTCGTTTCTGTCGGACTTTACGGTATTCTGTGCCTTCTCCGTTTCCGTATTTGGCTTGCAACTCGGCTGGTTTCGTTTGTGGCTTTCGTTTGCCTTCTCGTTTCTCTTTCTCTTTTTTTGGTTTCCTGGGGGGATTGGGGAGGGGGGATGGGTGGCATGTTAACGTCCATGCCGATGCGGCTTGTGATATTCGCTTATGCTATCAGTCTTATTTTTGTTTGCTTTCGTTGCGGAGGGGAGGGGGGTGGGGAGGGGGGATGGGGGGGGCGGGGGAAGTTAACGTCCAGGGCGATGCGGCTTGTGATATTCGCTTGTGGGTTTTCTTCTTATTTTGGTTTGCTTTCGTTGGGGGGTGGGGGGGTGGGAAGGGGGAATTAACTATGATGATGCTAATGAGAATGTTGCTGCATCCTGCTGCTGTTGTTATGTTGAATGTGACACGGACCCGCAACAACAAAAAATCGCGGTTTTACGACGTTTTTGCACAGACACAAAACAAAAGCTTTAAAAACCAACCCAAAATCAACCAATAAAAACAATGAGAGCCACTGTTTTCGCGACAGATCCTCAAAAAACCTCTTCGATAACCCGGGAAAACCAAACAGCCAAAAACATGTCTCATTCACGAATACCACACAAAAATCGAGGTCTGCAGGCTTTTGGCCACAAAAAATGAAAAAAGAACGACATATGACACACCCTTCGCGGCGACAAACACGCCAGCTTCCTTGCTGGTTGGTATTGCTGCTGTTCTGTTTCGGTTGTGGTTGTGGTGGTTGTTGTTGTTGTTGTCGTTGTCGTTGTTGTTTTCCGGGCGTGTCCGGATGCGGGCCGGGCGTTCCGATCCAGGCCCGGGTGTCCGGATCCGGGCGTTTCCGGTTCCGGGTCCGGGCGTTCCGGATCCGGGCACGGGTGTTCCGGATGCGGGTCTGGGGTTTCCGGTCGGACTAAGGTCTATGTCTAAGGACGAGAATAGCGATACTATGCACGAAAGGCCCGAGGTCTTCTCGCTTTTCACTTGTGCATCTGCACATCTAGTCGCTGTAGCTGAGGCTTGAAGAGCACTGGTCCTTTCTCTGAGAAAGAAGCGAAAACTATTATTGTCCAGATTCTGTGGCTTGGCTTCACGATTATGGAATGGAATCATAGAGACCCGCAGCCTACGCGGATGTCAGTCAGTGCATGTCAATGCCTCCTCAAGTTCAACACAAATCGTGCCCACGGAAGCTCAGGACAGGCCTACGCTACCTGAATAGCGCCGGTCGAAAGATCATCCATTACGACATCAAGCCCTCTAACGTGTTCTATCATGCTGGGCAGGTTGGGGCACTTGACAAGTCAAGCTACCCCGGACCCCAGCTACTACCACAGAAGAGCACGCTGGCCTTTCAAGAGGTCAAAATCTGTGATTTCGGGCTCTCCAAGATGGCAAACCATAGCTTGGTCCTGAGTGATGAAGATCAGCGATGCAAACTTTTCGCCCACACTGGCTGGCCTCGTTCAGCTTGCTGCTCTGGGTTAGCATACTGAAGGCAGCCATTGCTCAAGGTAGCACACGGCGGATTAGCACAGCATTTGATTTGACGTTGATGCAGGCAGCATCTGACTCCCGTACTGAGGCGCAGAAGGAATAATCGAGCTCTCCACACGCGGTGCTGGCACCTCGTGGTATCTTCCCCCCGAGTGTTCCTTGGAAGCGAAGAGAACCAGGAAAGATCTTGGGTATGAGTGCTGTCGTGTGCGGCTGCCATATGAAGAGAGTGAGCCACCCAGGCCATGAGACGGCATCGCCGACGATCAGCAGTGGCTAGACCGATCTCAAAGGTAAACCTGAGCCGCCGTGTTCTTCATGGAATGCCGAAACCTGAAGTACAGCTCGAGAAAGTTCGTTGTCGATTCGTAGGCCATGGACATTATAGCCCATTTTACACTACGCCAATCGCGGTTGTTTCCAATTCGGAGAACAGGCAACACAGGCAGCTTCCAGGTTAATTAGGATTTGATCGGAGTTTGGAGCAGACAGGCCTGTTCCTGCAGAGACTGCTGTGGTCCTCCTCCACTGCACCTGCCAAGGTAAGGTGGACGTGATGCTCTCAGCGGTTCACGCTTCGTATGCTCAGTTCCTTGAGTGGTCGGCATTTTCCACTTGCGTCAGCATCTGCAGCAGCCAATCTTGAGAAGATCAACTAACTCATAGTGCCGTCCACCTGTTTCGTCGGCAGTAGCACGTGCAGCCAATAGAGGAGGGTATGACGTTCGACTCTTTCCAATGCTCCTTAGGTGTGGAGCACAGGAGTCGTTTTCTTTGATCCTGGGCTGCAAGTGGCAAGAGCAGCCGAACCTGGTTTTCTTAAACAGTCAAGCCCGCTGTCTCAGTCATCATTGCATTTTTTACTTCAGGAGCTCCTTTTCAATCGCCGGCCTTTCGGTGATGGTCAGAGCCAGGAGAGCTGCAGAGTGCGTGCAGATCCCAGCTGACAGCTCAAAACGAAGCAAACGATGCTGGTAGGACGCTTTTCGCCGGTCTGTGGGCATTGAAGACACCTTCGAGCTGGCCCGGGCTTGCACTGTAGCATAACATCGCCATGTTCGTATCAAGGGGCTTCCGTCGTAGAACATATTGAACTGTCATCAGATGAAGCAGTCACGGTAGTGCCAGGCAACATCTGCTGCTTGAAAACCCGGCCCTGCGAAAACCTTTACAGTACACAGCCAAACATAGCCAACAAGAAGATGGGCCGCAAGACCTGTCTTTGGCCTAGACGGGAACGAACTATCGGCCTCATTCAGCCTGTTCGCTCCAGCAGGTCATTCCGACGTCTCCGAAGGTTTCAAACGAAGCAAAGGAGTTCCTACGATCCTTGGACCTGAGTTTGGTTTGCTGTTCTACCGGGTCCATGCATGCCCTTAGGCGGGTACAGGGGCTGTCAAATGACTGTCGAGAAGCCAATGCGCGTGGGATGGGATTGGAGGGGTGCAAGATGCCCCTCGCGTCCGCGCATGCCTAGTGCAACTGTGTGGCTCTCGGCACCTGGTAGGGATTTCCGAGTTTCTTTCGACACCAAACAGCTCCAGACATGGCCATGCAAGGTCGAATTCTGACGCGGGACCGTGATCAACGACCTGACGTCCTGGAAGTCCTCCAGGATCCCTACATCCGCAAAATGGCAGCACTGGGTCGATTTTGGAGCTTGTTGCTTCAATACTCTCTGCACAACTCACGGCACCCATCCTCCTGCATCTCGAGGTCGAGAGTGTGAGAGAGAGAGAGAAGAGAGTTAACGGGAGCCCTCCAGACCAACGGGAGCAAAGTGGGACCACAAAGACATGGATCCGATTGCAGCTCAGAAAAGCAGGACAAACCTAGCAGTCGCTGCCACTGCATCGTCCACTCCATAAACCAAAAGAAGACGGGCGAGCTAAGTGCCTGCAGGTCGGCGACCTAAGCCCCGCAGAAAGACAGACAGAGAGACTAACTTCCTGGAGCTGAGGCAAGGGTTTGACCGATGTGGCCGGCAAGAAAAGGTGATTTCTTGGAGAAGCGTCCGCTGAATGACTTCCTGCTCGGCGAATGGTGCCTAGGAACACATAGATGGCAGTGATGGCATAGCTTAAATTTGGTCCAACGAGGGTGGTATCGAACTTGGCGTGAGCAAACTATTAACTACTACGTCCCAAGACAAAACATGCACTTCCGCAACCCATTCCGACATTGCCTCGAATCTTCCAGCCACATCTGCGAGCTGTTACCCAGCCTGCAACGTTCATTGTTGCAATATCTGGCACCTTGCAGGTGGATGCGGTTGTAGTATATTGTGGTTATCTGACCTGTGAGGTGTTTGGTGTACAGATGGCACGTAGACTCGGAAGGTCCATCAGTTGTGCGGGATGTCAGCCCACTTGGTGTCCGTTCTTTGATTGCGAGTGTCAGCTTCTGCCATGCTCAGCCGTTTGTACAGCTGCGTGGGAAGCGGCGGGGCTTGACTATGTCACAAAGACTTGGGCAAGGCCTGTGCGGCTTGGTCCGACAAGGAAGGCCAAATGCAACAACTTGTGCGCATACCTTCAGTCGAAGGCCTGGTGCTTATGTAATCCAAACACGAAAATGTTCACGCCGGTTCCCTGCATTCCCACGTGCGCGGCACCTAGCATGTTTCTGGCGACTGTCGTGATACAGGACATTACAGGACAAAAAAGTGCTTCACCAGCCTGCGTTCATAACAGGATCCTTTGATGCTAACAGCGCCATTCTGGTGATTCAGATGACAGTCTCAATGTCCACGATAGATTGAAAGAACTTATCCAACCATGGTGCACCTAGATCTGGCAAATGTTAGCATCGGAGCTGCAGACTCCAAGCCTCTCGGGTTCCAGCGAGCTGGTTTGACAATTCTTTGTTGTCTGCCGTTTCACATTAGGTTTTTGTTATGTTTTGTTTATTTCAGTATACGATGCAGCAAGCTTCCAAGAGAGATGAGGGAAGCAGCTGGAAATGCACGAAGGGTACATGGGTGTGCCGCATGCAAAACGCGGCTGTTTGACGCATGTTGATCCCTGTGACATTGTGGTGGTCAATGACCATCGCACCGCAGAGGTTCCGCCTCATCGAGCATGTCACGGGCCGTCCGCCCATCCCGACGGCATTTCTGTCAGGGCAGTCTGCTCGGGTTATTCTTTACTGCTGCCCCGAGCACATCTTGATGTGTGGCCCTGCTGAGCTTTGTGGAAAGCTTGCAAGCTGCCGCGCAATTGCCCGCAGATAACGAGAACATGTCTTTAGATGATGTGTCAAAGCTGGATGAAAGCCAACGAAGTCGATGTTCCGAACGGGCACTGTCACTAGCTGATGGCAGCGGCTGGATGTCGCCGCAAATGCTACATCACCTTCCAGCACGCACACACAGACCGATCAGCATATGGTAGTTGATCTAAAGCTCCTTGTGGCATAGTTTATATGAAACGACATTTGACTGCATAGCTAAATGTGCCTTCGCGAACGTTCTGCAATGGTGCCGCTAAAGTTTACTTATTTTCTGCGAAAGTTATTTGTTTAGCCTACCTGTCGTGTTGTTATTACTATTACTGCTACTATTACTAATACGTCTACTGTTTCTATTACTACGACTACTACTACTACTACCACCACTACAATTCCTGTCACTGTCCTGTTATTGTTACTATGACCATTATTATCACTCTTACTATTACTGTCACTGTTACGATTACTGTTGCTGTTTATGTAACTGTTACTATCTTTTACTGTTACCAGTACGAGTACTAGTACTGGTACTATCACTAATACTAGTACTGGCACTAGTACTAGTATTATGGGTATTACTACTACTGTTGCTATTGGCTTTACTATTGTTGATGTTGCGAGCATTGTTACGATTATCACTCAGTAGTATTATTATTACCTTAATATTTTTGTTTACTCTATCACCACTTCTCATGCTCTTGCCACTGCAACTGGTACTGCTGTTACTACTCCTGCTGCTGCTGCTGCTGCTACTGCTGCTACCTACTACTACTGCTGCTACTGCTACTGTTACTACTAGTCTCCAATTACTACCAGTACCTGCCACAACTACTACCGTCAATCTTATCAACAACAAACCCAAAAATTCGGTTCCAGTACAGGGTTTAGCGCGTAAGTTCCGCGTAAGCGACGTAGCCAGATCAAGGCCACCCACCAATGGACATGTTGGTGTATTTCGCGAGTGGCTGGCGAAAGGTGCACCTCCTAGGAAGCCCTTACGACCCCTGGAATAGCCCCATGAAGAAAGCTTTTCAATCCTCCGTTGGTACGAAAGCCTGTCTAACACGCAAAGGAAACCGGCCAAATGCTGTTAATTATAATGCCCATAGCAACTTGTCATCGCGAAGCTTACGGCTTATAACTCAGGGTTCTAACTTGCAAAGGTATGTAAATATGCCTTCGCGACAGTTCCGCCGTGGTGGCGCTAAAGTTAATTTTTTATTCGTGAAGAAGGTCATTCCGGGATGAAGCAATTTAGATCAACAGCCATGTCGGGCCCTCCGGGGCTGCGCTCACTCTCCCCGAGTCTGGCAAGCATTCACACGTAGCATAGCGCGACATGTTGATTGCTTGTTCACCGCCCAAAACAGAATGGAAGTTCCTTCAGTAATTAAGCAGGCCGCAAACATTCCAGTCTGCTAGAGGCAGCAGCAGGTAACGGAAGCCTTTCCAGTAACAGACGAGGTACTAGTACCTCTTTCAGAAAAGCAACTCCAGCAGCGCTACAAAACTACTTCTGGTGGCAACAGTGCTTGGGTTGTTGATAATGATGGTGTTGTATGTTGTAACTTCTGCGACTGTCGCTGATGCTGCCGCTGTCGCTGTGGGAGTTGCTGCTGTTGTTGTTGTTGTTGCTGTTGTTGTTGTTGTCGTTGTCGTTGTTGTTGTTGTCGTTGTTGTTGTTCTTGTTGTTGTTCTTGTTGTCGTGATGTTGTTGTCTTTGGTGCTGGCACTGGTGCTGTTGCTGTTGCTGCTGTTGTTGCTGTTGCTGTTGCTGTTGCTGCTGCTGCTGCTGCTGCTGCTGGTGTTGGTGTTGTTGTTGTTGGTGCTGGTGCTGGTGCTGGTGCTGTTGCTGTTGCTGTTGCTGTGGCTGTCGCTGTTGCTGTTGCTGTTGTTGTTGTTGTTGTTAGTCGTGGTTGTTGTGGTTGTCGTGGTTGTCGTGGTGATGGTTGTTGTTGTTATTATTATTATTGTTGTTGTTTCCGTGATAGGAGCAGCAGCTGCGGCACAGGCAGCAAGAGGAGCGGGCTTGTATTCAAACGTACACAACCGGGAGACATGGGGATAATGTTAAGGCAGCACAGCATAGATGCTAATTACATGCAGAACGTCAAGTAACCAAGCTCCGAGTGCAAGGCGCGAACAAGCAGAGGAAACCTCAATTCCGTACCAGTACCAGCCTAGTGGCAGAGTGACAGATTGTTTTCCGAAAGATAGCGAAAACGAAGGAAGATGAGTACTAACCAAGCTTATTGACACGACGGACAATAGAAATGCAGAGACCACTTCGGCAAATCCCTTGCGACACCTTCTAAAGCCGCTAGGGCCTTATGCCCTCGAATAAACAGGCATCTCCACCTCTACGAGGTCGCCACGTGGAGCTTGCTGCGGTCCGCTTGAATTGAGGCGTGCATAAGGCTTTCGTTTTGAGTTTCCCTGTGGTTTGACTTACCTTATATCTGCCCTTTACATGTCCATTAAATTTCCCGTTTTTCGAGCATAGAAGTACAGAGCGATTGCCACGGAGCCTAAAACAAATTTTGCCAAATACGAGAATCAATATTGGTGAGATAATTTGAAGAATAATAATAATAAAATTATAGAGGTTTTGAAGTTTTGACATCTTGATATTTAAAGTCTGTGGGTAATTTTGATTTGGGAGATATGGTCTTTTGTATTCGTGCATAGAAGACACAGATTGAATAAAAAATGAAATGTATTTATCGCTTGATATTTACTCTATAAATCGCTGTATTTTTGTTCTGGTTTCGGATTTGCTGACGACAGCTGCCGGTAGGAAGCCACGAAAATCTCGGGATTTTGAGATCGTTGGAAAGCCTGCGGCTGTCTGCCTTTCATAATGAAAGACGAGCTAGGCGAGCCCTTAGCACGAATAGGAATTTCTGGGATTTTGAGGGTTTTATTCGGTAAATGAAACCCCCCCCCGAAATCCAACGGTTTACGATATTTCGTACAATACGAAACTCTAGGAATCCCGGGAAAAGTGTAATTACGTGCGCAACAAATTCTTGGGAAATGTAGGATTTCGTACGACGATATTTTCGATTAACTTTGTTCTGGATTCTATTATTCGCTTCGTGAATTATTGGACACTTAGTACATGCTTTGTATGTTGTGTATGTTGTATTCTGGCATGGTATTCTATGGATCGGAAGGAGTGTTGTGGAGTGGGGCGAGGGCATGTGTGTCGTGGGGATGTCGCGCGAGTCTGAGGGGAATGTTATGTAGTGGGGGGCGTGTCGCGGAGTGGTTTACGGGAGTGAATCGCGGTGCGAGCGATAAGTGAAGGCTTATATATTATTTTCGGCTGGCCGGAGATATAAGAATTTGTTGTTTATTTAATTGTTAGGCCTTCGGTGGGTCGAAGGTTAAGGTTCGAAGATATATTTTGCGGACTTTTGTGGGGTTTATTTAGGTACGAGGTCTTTAGTGGACAGTAACTTAAAGACTCTAAGGTGAATTTAGAAGATGTTTGTAAGAACACCGTAGATATAATATGAGAATATTTGTGTTGTTTATTTAGTAGTGCGGTCTTTGGTGAATAGAGGGTTAAGCCTCGAAGATATATTCTAAGGAAATTAATTATAAATTATTTAAATAGAAAGTTATTGGTTGGTTTAAGCTTAGATTCGAAGATATATTTCGAAGAAATTTGGGTTATTTATTTATTAAAAGATTTCGCTAGGTTAAGACCCGAAGATTTAATTCGAGTAAATTTATGCCATTTATCCGAAGATATTTCTTAATAA